ACAATGCTAAGATGATTAAATTAAGTAGTCTCATGAGCACTCGAACATTCAGAAACGCTTTAGGGAGCAATTGAGGTTACAAGTGTAGCGACCGTTCAGGCAATTACCAATCAATAATCATTGCTGGTTCGCTGTACTCGCCCAACCTCATTCCATGGCTGAGCTCAGTGCCAGTGACATCAAAATCGTGATCATAATCACTACGACCTCACTAAACGCATTGTACTTCGTGCTTCCTCGATATTTTTGAGGCAGCTTAGGCGATTTCAAGAGTCGTCCAAAAGTAGGAGATTTCAGCAAAAAGATTGTTGGGCTTTAATCCAGACTTATATGCGTAGCAAGCCGCTGCAATTGCTTCCTCCTCAATCGAACCAGTGTAAAACTTAAACTCTTAATTTTCCAAACTGCATGTCATATTCGCCCACTTACATAGTACTCATCTTACTTTTTCTCTCCCTATGTGTTTGTCTATCTCTTTTACATCTGTGAATCACTTTTCTTTTCCATACCCCTCGACTTTCTGTTACTTTGATGAACCTTCCCTCTGTGAAGCCCGAAGTCAGCGAAAGGTCTAATGTTAGCTATCAAAACGCCCGCTATTTGAAATAAATAAATAAATACATTTTCCACCTCCACCTCCTTGCCAATTTCTATGTTTTACATCCATCTTTCCTTTTTCGCTCGTGTAATATGCAGATAATAACTTTTAGGTCATAATCTCCTCATTAGGAGAAAGGTGGGACATCCTACTGAGGAAAGGTATATAATTTTGATAGGTGATATCTATTTTGCCAAATTTGGTCCGAATATTCTTCGAAGTAGTCCCAACTACTCATTAGTTTATGGTGAGTCAAGCAAGTATGCCTACAACTTCGACCCAATCATACATTAGAGAGAAGATTAACTAGGAATTAATCGTTAAGTACAACCTCCATTGAGTAATTGAGAGTCCCAATTAGCGGGAATAAGTGATGAGAAAAACAAAATTCTAACGACTTTAAGTGCATTTAATGGTGTGAACTGATTTAGGGACTAAGCAAAATGCAATGCTCATGTACCTACATGAATTTGCAGATTAAGAGCAAAGCAATAAGTTGAAATGCTGTTGTAGCGATAGCTGCTTCATATTAACTTACATAAAGGAATATTTATTTTCTGAACATGACACTTATTTATTTATTTTTCTCAAATGGTGGGCGTTTTGATAGTTATCATTAGCCCTTTAGTTGACTTCGGGCTTCACAGAGAGGAGGAGGAACATCAAAGTGACAAAAGTCGAGATGGGGGACAGAATAAGGTTTCACAGATGTAAAAGAGACAGATAGACAGACAATGAGGTAGAAAAAGGTGGAGTGAGTAATGTGGAAGTGGTCGAATACGACATAGAGTGAGGTCATATTAGTTTGAAGTCGGAAGTCAACTGCCGGTTTATAAACTTTTTTGCCGCATGAGTATACGTTGCCCAGGGTGCGCCACGTGGAGGTAAGTCTATCGCACACCCCGTGAACATGACATAAAGGAAGTCTAAAGATCGTTTATGCATGCATTTAGACTTGCTGCTCTTTATTTCAAAGAAGGTCACAGATGAAATCAGAGTACAAACTTCAAAGGGTGCGTTTAGTAATTCAGATTGGGTTGGTAAAAGTTCTTTTAATTCCAAGTGTTCATCTATAAAATATTTAGGAAAATTATACCAGCAACCCCTTTCTTTAAGTATGAAGCAATGCTTTGTGTGAGTAATGCTACTCAAATCTATAAAGTAGATGAGAATCTAAAGCTACAAGGCACTTGTTTTAGATGAAGTGATTTATTCTTTAACTGACTATTCACGGTAATTAGAGCGCAACTATGATCTAATGACTTTGACCAATCAGACGCACAGACTGATCACTGCACCACAGCGCACACATTGCCTTAGTAGATAAACACGATTTAACCAGAACACGACCTTTAAAGGGATCAAAGTTTAACATACAGTACTTTGTCGCAGTTTTTTTAGACTAATTCCCATTAATCAATTTCTTTTAAACATTCAAGTTTGCTCAGCTAAAATTTTATTTATTTATTCATTTTGGTTAAATTTTTATTTCAAAGCAAGCGTGATCCATTTCATTAACATATCCGGAGTGTATGATAGCCAACTTAAACTATTTTAGAATAAAAAACATGACGTTTAAGCCTCTTTAGATTATAAATTTGATTGATTTGGTAGTACTTCTAGGTCGGCTCAAGTGTGAGCTGAGTGACTTCGCTTTGTTTCACCGATCAAATTTTCAGCGCGAGACGGGAAAATCTTTTACGGTTGCCAATCCTCATGACAGTATTTTACCCACTAATCTCACTGGCGAGCTGTAGCACAGTTTGCGCATTCTTTGACACCATCACTAGTAATTAATCAACTGTAGATGACAGGAACAGATGCAATTGTCTATCAACCCATTGTTTATAATTCTGTCCGAAATGCGTATTTACTGTTCCTTATCTCTTCGAGGAAGAACGCATAATAGATACTTTAGGAATCTTCATTGAAATTCACCAGGTTTGTGGGACACGTTATCGCTCTGTGCGTCATCGTATGCCTGCATGTCTGCTCGCCAGAACTGGGAGGTGCGGCCGTACAACTCTGTGTGCAGCGACCGTACAAACAGTGACCAATCATCAACCTCTGTTTAACCTAATCTCCCATCCTGATCATGAGTAGCTCCCTGCGTCTACACTTGATCCGCAATATACGTCCTGAATAAACGTGCCCCGTGCTACACGTCTGTTTCCTTTATAGGTGGGCTATAGCTTAGCTGGTTCTGGGAGTCTAGCTAGATGTTGGAGGATCTGCCATAGAGATTTCTGAGTCAGCCAGGCTTTACTAAGGTAGCAATCCGCTACAGGTTTCTGATGCTTCTATCTTTTTGGTAAGCAGCTATTTGCCACTTCTTTTGCAATTTATCGATTGACTTTTAACGATTTTACTTGAGACTTCCTACCTTTGAGGTCCTTATTGGTTGGAGTCAAATAATGTGTTTCTTCTATGAGAAAAATAACAAAAAAACATCAGAATTTTGGTCTCTATTCCTTTGTAGTAACATAAAATAATCGCCTTAAATGGCGAAAAATATATTTAAACTCGCAACGAGGACGATTAATTAATGATCAGGAAGTTAATGTGCGTGAATTCCGCTTTATTGGAAATCGAAACAACTGAGCTGCCAGTATTCCCATAACTGGACGAGTCTACATCCCGATGTCCTAACGCTTAAACTCCATTTGACTTTAAGCCTCAGGGAACAGATTATATCCTTAATATTCAAGGCTCTTAGACCGGTTCTACGATTGATCGTAACCTTAAATTACACAGCCACATGACTAGCAAAGTTCCTGCCATACACATATAGCATGTAATCTAGGCGCGTGCAAATGAAAGCGTTTGAAATACTGTTCCAATAGTAATCGGCAAATTTTCTCCATAGGGGTCTGAGTAAACGCAATCTTAAATGAATGGCCTCAATTTTTCGATCTATTTACTTTAATTTAGCTGAAGAACCCATGTTTTTGGTACTATTATGGATCTCTAATAAATGCGCTTTTGACGAAAGAAGTCAAGAATTTAATTTTATGAGCTTATTACTGGCCATTTTCCTAAGTGACTAAACAGCCTTCCACCCAATGTAACCTCACTTTTAGTATCCCAAGCATCTTCATCCAACGAACGACTCTTAAGGTTCTCTGTTCCCTTCTCAAGCTGAACAATTACCCCTTGAATCATGAGCAGCTGACAGATTTCCATAGCCAACTCGGAGCAACATTTTAGCCTCGCTTTTTTACTTCACTCCAATTTTGGCTTTCTTTTTGAAGTCGGCACTCTTGAGTACCTTAAAATATGGAACTCCTACCATTGATTATCTCTGTTTTTCATTAAATGGAAAGTGGGTAGAAAAACTGACGACAACATCTAGCTATATACATTTTCTTGTTTACCGATGGTTAGCAGAAATTAGCGCTAACCTAGTAAGAATACTACATAGCTCTGTGCTAGTGGCTGTAGTTGGAGTCGCAACTTACATTTTAAATAAATTTCAAGGGAAATATTGTTTCCATATAAGGAAAGAAGCTGGCTCCTGCTTAGGTAACCCCACTACTGAGCAATTGAAAGTAGACCAACTTTGTTACCCAACAAGAAAGCACATAGATGAACACAAATAAACACGTCCAAAGTGGACCAATGAGAAGTTAGGGTTGCAAATACACTCACTCGCAAACTCATTTTGTGACAAGATGGCTGCACCATCTCAATTTTGCGCTTTGACGTTTGTTATAGATCACTCTACTACCTCTCTGTCATACAGCAGTAGCCTTCCAAATAGTTAGGATCAGGAATTTCAGTAGACGCAGGTCTGAAAGAACGAATTGAGGGAAAAATGTGTGGGACATAGGGAATCGACGGAGTTTTTACTCTTACGGAGACTGCAGAATATCTCAAAAAACTTCAGGTCATGTCAATATATAAAATATCTGGAAATAAGATTGCTCCTGCTCCCCAATTACTATGACTTCAATTCCCTTAATTGAGCAACAACACGGGATGAAGCAGGCTATCCGTACTCATTTTAAAATATGTCTACCAATATCCCACATTTCCAGCGCATTTTGTTCAACAATTCGTCACGACAGTAACCCCATCATATGACATCATTTTAAGTTTGTCGCCAACAGATTTAAGCCACTCTTGTAAAATGCACTTTGCACTTAGGCATACAGAAAGAGATAATATTTTAGTAAGTACGTATTCTGTTATCCCCAAAGAAAAAAAACAAATACGTGGATCACGAAAGCACAGAACTTCATCAGTAAAGGAACTCCCAGCTTAAACAGAGCAAGGACTTTGAATGAATCGACAAAGAATAACATTACTACTACCAATAAACAGTGCACACCACACACACACATGAAGTGTAATGAAGGTTTTAAATGGAAGTTCGGGGATCAGATGGGAGAATAAGAGAAATTCAAAGGAAAGGATTCAGTGGATTGTAAGCAGGTGCCGTATTACCGGTATTTGATACTTGCTGCTGGCTTTGTTGAAACCTGAATTGAGATTGCATTGAGTAGGCCGATGTTGATGATTGGACGGGAGGGAACGCATTCATTGGTTGATGCATATTGAAGGCTGCAATTTGATTCGTCGGAGGTTTCGCGTTAGGATTCTGAGATAATGCGTACTGATTCTGGGCAGGATAAATTATCTGTTGTTGCTGGGAGTAAGACGGTTGCATTTGTGGTCTGTAAACACTAGTCTGCGAATATTAAAAAGAAACAAATTAAATAAACTCCAGTACTTCGTGCCGATTGCAGGACATTAAGTTTGGTCAATTTGTAATAAAATAAATTGCGGCGAAATCTGGAGCACAAATTAGGAATAAATCTGCATTTAATTATCGGTTATTGGATGCAAGCTCACCAATGTTGCACTTTATTAGTCCACATCAACTGAAAGAAATGTTACTTAATTGAGCAGGAGTAGATAACAATTTCAAGAGAATAAATGTGCTTCAAACTGCAATCCAAGTACCGATGTCAATAGATTCAAGATCCTGCTAATGGTACTTTAAGCAGCCCGAAGAAAAAAGGCGCAAACGCTGAAGACATAACCAACTTTAAAAGTCCAAGTGATCACTTATAATACAAGAACTAAAGCCATGTCCTACCCAATTCGGTTCAATCAAAGTACCCCCCAAAATACCCAAACTCCGTAAGCGAAATTGAACATGGCACAAGTGACTGAGAATTCCATTCGGAAAATTTAAGTTACCATGAAAATCCTGATGCCTGAAATGGATTATAAAACAACTATAACTAAAAGAATAAAAATAATAAAAACACGCTGTGTACCAAATTTAATGAAATTTCAATGGCACAAATGATTTAACTTCTACAGTGTAATGGAATAGATGGGAGAATCCACTCTTTAGAAGGACCATAAATAACCTAAGCCTTTTATAAATAACTAGTCAAAATATTAACACCAAAACACATGAGAGGGGTGAAATAAAGTCGCGAAAAGGTTGGAAATCGGGAAGCCACTAATGGAACGATCACCATTAACTGAAGAGTAAACCAACCCCTCTAGCCACACAAATTTGCACTTTAGGAAATGAATACTAACTAGTTTAGTTCAATCTAATTACATGCAATATTTCCGTAAGCCTGTAAAAAGACACAAGTTACTCAGAGTGATCATGGCTAAAGCTACATATTTTATTCATAAACCATACTTTGACCAAATTGCTCAACCATCTCACTTATATATTTGCCAAAACTATTTCACCGTTAGGAGCAATCTCTAGACGCTCAGCGATATTGATAATTAGAACCATACCTGATTGGTGGTTAAAGCAAAGTTATTAACAGCCGTGGGTTGAAGTACCCCACCAGGTCCGAGCCAGGGATTCGATGATGACGCAGCTGTCATAGCAACAGGCGGCGATTTAGCGACAACGGCGGAATTTGTTGCAGTTGTCCCACTTGCCGTGGCACTGGAAGTGAAAATAGAAAGTTGGTCAGCGATTTCAGCAAGGCGGCTATCCAAATCATTTCCGGTTGTTGTGTTGTTGGTCGTGGATGATGGTTTAGTAGGAGCCGGTAGAGTTTTTGCAGAGGAGTTATCATTGCCTGTTGTTGGCCAGGCTAACGAATTCGAGGTAAGGAAAGGATTGTTAGGATTCGGTAGTGGTTCTGTCAAAAATTGAGACAATGGACGGGGCTGATTAGCAATAGGTGATACATTAGTGGCTGTGGACAATGCCAAGTGGCTACTCGATGCTGGTACAGCTAAAAGGATAAAAAAGGTGAATTAAATCGCATTCAACTAATCAAATCGTATTTCAGTAGATGCTATTTCTTTTCAATTACCAGGAAGGAAAAAGAAGTCATCAAACAGACCACTAGAGGGTTGTGACGTTGCCGCTGTCTCAGTAGGTGAGAAGAGTTGTAGAAGATCGCCATCACTGTTAGACCGCTCTACGTTGCTGGTGGAACCATGTTCAGGAGTGTTGTTGACGCATTTGGCTCGAGCTTGGCTCACGAATGCCTCTAGGCGCAGACGTTCCTCCTCAATAATTCGTTGCTGTTCAATGGAGAGATTCTGATTACTAGAGTCTTGTAATTTGAGCAGGTCTGCAGTCACTGGCGTTGAGGGAGAAGAAAGAGTTGGAGAAGCCTTATTTCTGGGGAAATAAAAGTGGGAAAGAACATTAAATAGAAGGCCTAAAAGAAACCAAAACCTACAGATGTAACTGTCAAATGCTGCTCAAAAAATGGTTAAGTGAAAAAATGTTTTAAAGCAATAAAAAATGGACCACTGTTACACAGATAATTGACCAACAAGCACTTCAAATAACCCGGTTAGTGTAAACGTCCTAGAAGAATGGCAACCACAACATTGGCGTCAGATTAAATGGAAATCACTTAATAAAAAATTAAGTTGCAAACAATAAACCGCTGAAAAGCTGGTTGGAGCAAGCACATCATTTAAGTCAAAAGACGTGCAGTAAAATCTGCCAGAAGCTCTCATTGAAAAAGAGGCATGTGTGGAACCTATTTTAGACAGTAAAGATGATCAAAGAAGCTGCACAATGACTGAAATCCGAAACAATCTATTGGAAGCATATTCCAACAACATTTGATCAACAAGATGGACATTAAATTGGAGGTGGCGTTAGATTGAGGATGTCAACCACACTAAATGAAAATGAATATGAAATGTGAAGTCAAAATGAAAAAAATAACTACTTCTGTCCCGATGGTAACTTGCCAACGAGCGTACAGAAATCACTGCTAAGGAGAACAAAATAAAAAAGGGAACAGCGTGTCTGAAACTTGTGGTTTGATGGTCTTAAGATACCCGACTTTTAACTTACCAGGTGTAGTCTTGCCAACTTGCGAATATGCGGGGTATCTGAAGTGCAGCCGAGTCAGCGAAACAGATGATTATGACAGAAGCAAATGACACTGAAGATATTAGCTGCCACTAATAACTTAAGTAAAGGTCGTTAAGATGACTGGCAGGTGTTTCACCCGATCCAAACCTACTTACTTCCCTTGCTTGTATGTCAAGACACCTGCCTGGAATTTTTTTTTGCCTGACCAACTTTATCAGCATTCCCATCTTCCTTCCCACAGCCTCAGATTTAAACGGACCGTAGAATCAATTAAGTCAGTTTAGTGATTCTAGCTAATATTTAGGCTACCTAAACTCACAGCTTCAATGTTCCTCATAAAGAAAGGTAACAAACGTGTAGGGAAATTGCAGAAAAAAACGTTAATTTCATTAGCGTAACTCACTTATCATTAGATTTCTTGCCTTCGAGGTGTGCCAAATGTGCTTCCAAAGCATCGAGAACAGACGTGGGTACAGGTTTGAATATCAGTGACTGCTTGCCGAAACCGTCGTGTAACTGGAGCGAATCACAGGCCTAAAGGGAAGAATTAAGTCACGTAAGAAATCAGGTGATTTCAAAAGCACTTTAACGAAATCTAATGGGACACAAGTCACACACGAATAACACACTAACGCCATACCAAGTAGGAATACAAAGAAGCAAACTAATGTAGACAGCTTGTCTATGGATATTGCTATTAACTATTATTAAATGTTTTTTTTTAAAAATACTGCGAGTCAGACAAATAGCACTACTTTCATATTAATTAGAAAACAGCAAATCGATAAAGCAGTAAAGAAAGGATTGATCTAATACTGTAAACTCATCCACAATCCAGGGTTTCAAATCATCCTGGGAAATTTAGAGAAAAGACAAAGCTGAATTGTACGATTTTGTTCAAATTTCGCCATAATTTTTTTCGGGAGACGAAATCAGCACGTATATGGTTTACAAAATACCAGGTTGTAAGAATAGAATCCAAATCATCTATTGTTTTGAATGGCTTTTGAGTAATCAGGTCGTACATGTCGGACAAAACGACAAGCTCCACTTGAAAGACTGTAAATTAGACGCGAGCAACTTCTCAAATTTGTTCGTTAAAACCAAAACTGTTGTAAAATAGCATTTAGTAACATGTTCGCCATGGGCCTTTCGTGCATCTATCCCCCATAACCAGAGAATCATTTATTTATTAATAGGTCATAACGAGGAAAGTGTAAAGACCTTTAATAAAACATATAACCTGAAAGGGGATATTAAAAAAATACTAAATTGGCACTCTTAGGTCTCAGCTCTATGATCTATCCAGATAGGTTTTCGCTAAACCGCAAGGGTGCTTGCTAGCTTAGTTTAATTAAAGTTGTACAAACTAAAACAACATTCGCAAAATGTCACCAAAACTAGGCAAACCTAATTTATCAACGATTACCCTATAGCGCATAGACCCTTAGTCCAACAACAACAATTTAACTACCATTACATGTCACAAAAACAGGAGCAAATAAACACTGATTTGTGATGGAATACAAACTACAAAACCAGTAAGTACACAGGAGCCATAAAGGAACGATTAGTGGGGTACCGTCAAGGCATCCAGATCGGTATAAATTTCAAACGCGACTGGAACAGGAAAACCGTCCTGTAAAATAGAGTTGTAGAGAGCACATAAATAGTATTCAGAAAATCCAATCTGCCAATTTCAGGTCAAGAAACCAAAGTTTTGTAACGAAATGTAGCCGTTTATTGGGTGATACTTATTAGTCATCTATGGACACAGGGTAAGTTTGGTCAGATTCAACCAAAGCGGTTGACATTTTGATATCCATCGAAAAGCATCAAGCTTGCAAGTTAATCACGGTGGCAGGGATTTGCTTGCCTAATTAAGGCATGTGAAACATTTCTGTTTGAAAGACAGAAAAGAATTAACGAATTGACGCATGTACCGCGATTCGATAGGTTCATACATTGTCAAGCCAAAACTCTACGAAATGCCTCCAAAATATCTCATCTTTATTACTAATATGCACATTTTCAGACAAACATTACCAGTGAAAATTATCTTGAAGATAAACAGGCAATTTACCCGCAATGGAAGCCATTAGCCACAGAATGTAAACATTAGTATTTACCTCATTCCACATCAACCTCTTAATTAAAGTCTAATTAATAGTACAGAGGCAAAAGTGAATGTTTACGTAAACGATTTACAATGCGGCATATTTCTACGAAATTTAGCGTCAGCAAAATCCATTATTGAGCTATATTCATCAAATCAACATATAATACACATACTAATAATAACTTACTTCAGCGACTTTGATAAACTGATTAACACTTTCCATACGCCTGAGAAATGTTTTGTATATACGTAAAGACTCCTGACAGTCCTTTTTCGACATTGAGAAGAACTTCTCTATAAGAAGATGTTAAAACGATCAGAAATAACTGATTACCGATTATGTTGATCATGCCTTCATTATAAACAGCATAGAGGCGAATGAGGTCTTTGTAGAGGAGTATATATGCCGCTAGAACCACGCCATTGAAGAGTTCACTTGAAGAAGCGTCGAAAGCCAAAAGGGCATCAATTTGTCGTTCAAGGGGAGGTAAAACGCGAAAGAGTTTAGCTTGAGGCATAGTCTTCATGTTCACATCATCATTTCTATAAATATATGGCGGAAGCAAACAATAATAAGTAAATAAAACCGCAGAAAAGTGGGAACATTTTAAAGCAATAAACGAAACAGCGAACAAATGAACAGAACTGGCATTAGAAGACTTGCTTAAAGTGCAGAATTCCTTTCTGAGGGCTTATTGGAGGTGGAATAGTTGGATTGCTGGTCAACAAAATAATAATCAAATCAACGCACTTAAAACTCAAGAGCATTTAGCGGATTCCTGTCAGTTATGGTAGCGATCAATAACCCATAAATGAGTGGACAATTGTAATAGCACATTTGAAAGCTATCCATAACGATTAAGCAGAAATATGATCTTTAATGAGGTACTACGAATATATTCTTGTGAATGATAACACATACAACTTGGAACCCACAAGTTGATGGTGGTCTTCTTTGCTTAATTAACTGATTAAAACAGCGAAAATAAGTGTTTACAAGCTTTTCATCAGTGAGACGAATGAGAGGATAACCCACAGCTGGCATAATTAAAGACCCCCTCCCCCTCACATCCTTATATTTGCGTTCTCATTTGTGCCCTTCGAATACACTTTATTTGGTAAGTCGGGCGAACATGACTGTCGACCCGCAGTACACGGCAAAAAAGGTGAAATCTAAGCCCATTAAATTGAGAGAACCCCGGCATTAAGGTACATATCTTTAATAGTAACTTACTACACAAGTAGTTAATCGATTTTTCTCACAGTACAACTCGTTGATATAAAACATGACGATCATATGACCGCGACATGGAAATTCATTAGAGCGAGAATTAAAACTGGTGAATTTTGTTGCGAAAAATTGATCACAATCCAGTATTGAAAATTTTTCGATTTTCAAATGAGCGAAAATGGGGCTTTTAAATCATGGACTGATGCAAATTAGCGAGGCCCCGTAACGATAGGAATAGCGTTGATAAAGGCTATTTTGACAGCATTAATGTTATTCGTCAAATAAATAACAGATTTTAGTCATTCAACAAAAATCTGAATAAATTTAAGTCAATTTAAACCTATAATGGATCAATGAGGAGATAGAATAAAAAGTAGGTAAATATTCCTAAGTAATGTACAGCTTAATTAATTATCTACACATAACTGTGACGCTAGATCAGTGGTGCGAAAAATACTTTGATGTCTGTATAACTGAACAAGATTTTTTTAATAAATGACAGTTCTGGTGTCAATGTCGACCTAGTTCAGCAGAATCTAAGACATTGGGGGCAATTATTTCCACTGAATACAATAGGCACGCCCACATTAAAAAAAGGTAAATTTTGGGACAAATATCGATTTCAACTTCTAGGCAGTACATAAATCGTTGGTAATGCAAGTGTCGATGATCAGAGTAAGCAATACATTAACCACGAGTTTCACATTGACATGTAACCATAGCGGTTCAACTAAAACCAACTGATGAGCCCATTACATATCTAATTCGATCTTCAATTTTCACTTGTCAAAAATCAAATTTTATTATCCCCCTATTAACCAGGCTGCACTAAGTCAGTCAGAGCCAATCTGGTCATTATTAAACACCGAAACCGTGACCACTAGAATAGGAGATGAGTTCAATTTTAAATAAAGACCAAGAACAGGTTGACAGACAAGAATAAAGGCTTGGGTTCAGGGTATAGAATACTTTAGGCGTGGTTGAGCTAAAATCATGTCGGGTCTTAACATTCAGTTAGTATGTATGAAAATAAAATTACCTAAAGCGGCTACCAATCCCTGAACTAATAAACTAATTATTCACATCGGAGCGCAGATAAAAAACAAATAATTCATTAATGGAATGAGGGAGAAATGACCAGATTCGTACCTCTGGACTATTTACGATTATTGTGATCAGATACTTTCTCACTCAAAGATAAATGGTCCTAAATAGAGCAGGATCAGCTCAAGAATGCTTTCACCATAGACAAGCAAAGAAGGCCTGGAAATGCACAGTTGACTTGGTTAGAGATTATTGCATAACCCAAATCAAGATGCCACAAGATTGTGAGTGAATTTCCAGTGCGATATCAATCGATAGGTGGGAATATATGCGAATGGCTAAACAGGCCATTGAGCTAACACACTGTACACACACACACCGCTGTGCTTTTATAGAGTGCTCTGTACAAAAGAGCTCTTAGCGATTAGCATGTCTGCCTATCAACACACATCTCATGAAATCTAACGGCTTTGGGTTATAAAACGATCAACCTATTTCCCACTTGTGAACTAGAACCGATGCAAACACTAGCACGCTATTCACCATCGTAGTCAGTAAAATATGTTAAGTTTGGTTACCTAGATTAAAACGACTCTCGTGAGCTCTATACTAAAAAATGCATTCGCTAGACTTATCCACTCTGCTCTCAACTACGAGATGTTATTGAATAAAAGTACCAAGAGTAAACATTCAATTAAATCAAATGAAATCTAGAGATAACAAAATGAAATTTGAGCTTTGAAACGTTTTGTTACACCAATGTGAATCCTAGCCTAGTCCACTCGTTAGAAAGTGGAAAGCTAACGGCTTAAGAATTTTAATAATAAAAGACACGACATTTTGACTTCCTTCCGTAACAAATTTGGCTCACTTACTGAATCATTCTGCAAACCCACATATTCCAATGTCGTTTCATAACAACAATTTTTTTTAGCGTGGTTAAAAATGACAATGAAGTGGTAAAATTACCAAAAATGAGGTGGCAAAATAAGACACTTCACTTACAATCTATGGATATATATGCAAGTGTTCTGATGTCCTTGACCCTTATGTTTAAGCAAAATGGATGCTTGTCAGACCGTTAATATAATCAAATCGTGCTTCTTCAATTGTCGTTTCCAGACATAAAACTAAAGACCATAGAGACCAAATGAAAATTAAAAAAAATACGATAGATGATTAAGGTGGAGTAATTATAAATTACTTCCATATTGATCGCCGTACTTTCTTCTAAGCGCGGTGCCCTGCATTCAATCAACGACAGACAACTTTGACCAGTACAAGAAGAATAATAAGAAGAGGTAACCAAACCGAAAATATCAACACATCAGTTCAATTTCCGCTTAAAAAGTACAGAAATGGAGGCAAAGCTCTAATCTTTTATTTCAATCAGTTCTTTTGCCTTTATGGAACTACACTTAAAAGCGCAAAAAGCTAAAAAAATATGTACTTAAATAATTCGATTAGTTGATCTAATTCTGCTAACACATTAATTTTACTTTTAAAGTAGTAATTCAACCCCCCCCCCCCCCTCCTTTGGAGAATAATACTATTATTCAGTGATTATCGCTACTAGAACAACGGTTTACCACCAACTCCTCGAATCCTTTGCAACAACATTTAAGAAAAAAGGGTGGTGGTGAAATAATTTCGTTCAAACTTTTAACGTGAAGCAGATGAAAAAGTGAGACAAAAGAGATCAAACTTTGAATAGAATATAAACTATTGATTTGGTGATGCTATAGTTCAGATGAAATATCACTCCCTTGATTTCGATCAAATAAAGGATTTGAATCTATTAGTTATCTTGTTAAACCGTGGAGAGGTGAATAAATTATTTTCAAGGTGAGTTTGTAATCACATGTACATTTCAGGCATTAGGCAGTGCAGGTTTCGGGATTCACATTCAACTAAGTAATTAGCATTATCTAAAAAGTGGCAACTAAATGAGCTCCTCGAATATTTTCGATTTGAGAGCATAGAAACTACTAGCACTTGAAATAGGTATAGGAAATAGGCATGCTATTGGTAAAATAGAAATCGCGTGTGCCAGAAAATTCATGGTCATGCAGATGTATGACACGAGATTAACCAAGAAGTTAAATAATCATGAAGAAGTTAAACCTTGTGACTCACTTTCGTTTAATTTTGCAGAAATCGAAAGCTACCTCGCGATAACTGGAACATCGAGCATCAAGATAACGAGCATAATGACGAATAAACAAAAACATTGTGGCTGAAAGGAAGTAAATATATGAGTTGATGGCGTAAACGTAAAGAAAATTTGGAAATATTAATAGCTTTAATTTACCTTGTGAACCACTTTTCTCAAATGATCTAGGTGTAGCGAGTTGACAATTATTCGATGCGAGATACTGAGAAAACCGCTAGAGGATAAAATATATCAGGTAAGTATGTAATTCTATAAAATCAAAGGGGTTCATTATTACTAACCTCACTTCCATTATTCATCAAATGGTGGATCGTGATAAGAGCCTTAAAGGAGACGACCCAGCTACTGTTGTGTGACCGACCAATGATATAATTGGCAAATTCTGGCATGGAAAGACGAGGTTCGTATGTACAGTTAACCAAAACTAGAACAAATAAAATAAACATAAATATCTACTATTAAGATGCTTTCTTTTGGGAGCAATCATCTCCTCTGTGGTAGCCTTGCAAATAGTTTTGGCTATTAAGGATCCAGCAAGGCTATGCTTCATGGAAGTCATTCTGTCGACCAAACTCTGTCCGGTACCGTTACCGGCTAAACGCTTTACAGCCCTTGCAGCCATATCAGTTAAGTACAACAATATGTCCAAGGGATTTCAAGTTGACGCGGTAATAGTTGTCAAAAAAAACAAATTAGTACTTGATGCAAGAAATATTTATGTGATTAACTACTTATATCTTAAAAATTCCTAAAATAATATTTTATAATTCATTTTAATTTTTTAGCTATCTTTTCTTTTCGGTCAAAATTTGTTTTTAAAAACAACGATTATTTAGATCAACTTTATTTCCCATTAAAATTATCTGCAATTGGTGACAAGTAAATACAGCAATATTCTTTTCACAAGAATCATATATTTCTATCTTATCATTGTAAAAATTACTGAGGGTCATTTATTAATTGGTGCATGAAATTAATTTTAACTAAAATCCAATAAACGTCAGATCTGTTCATTGAGATCCAACTGAAAGGACGAATTCTTCAACTTGCAAACATAGTAAATAAGAATAATACCTTGAAAATTTTTCAGATTGGCCCTTTTATAAATTAACATAAGCTATATCCGAAGAGCATTAATACAATCATTGGAAACGGTCATTTTTCTGTCAGAGCTGTAGAAGAGTAAAATTTGCCTCTTAACAACAGCATTACACAATTTTCCGAATGGCTTCAATAAATCACATTTCCTCTTCATTATTAATAGATTACAACCATTTCTTTCCAGCATCCTCTAATATTGGACTTAATGTTTAACCTCTGCCTTGAACAAAAACAAAAGGCGAGGTTGGCAGGACGTTAAAAATTTGTTTGTCTATCAATCAAACTGGTGGATATTTAACTGAAATGGTCTTTTATTGGGGCGAAATACTGCAGAGAACTGGGTTTTCTCTGTCATGGTTGTTAGGAATCATTTCAGCAGGTAATCTATGAGTGACGCCAAAAAAATTTACAGCAGGACAGAACTAAAATCTCCCTTAATGGTGCTTCTGTTTTCAGCTAGAATGATTGGATAACGGTCAAGCCAATTTAATCTAGATTAAGTGGCGGTTATAGCGGATGTGGGTTGACGATGAAATTTTTCAACAATGAAATTGGCATCTAGTTGATAGGCGGTGGTTTGGCAGAAGTACATTGTGTTCCTCAATTTGTTGTTATTACGAATGAGTTACTAAATATAAATACAAAAGATTCCATTAGAGCTTTAGTCACAGATTTGAATAAAGTATCATGCAACAGAATCAGACCAGGCCAATGTGTAAAACGGTCGACGCGGATTAATATTTTAGTGGAAGAGTTTAATTTGAGGAAAAGAAGCCACAATATCAGCTTAAATGTCCAAAACGGCCATCAGGAACAGATAAAAGGAGAGCTGGATCAGTGCGTATTTGTGAATCTTGTTGCCTTGACGAATTAGGCTATTTTGTGCCTACAGACGAGTGCTAAATCGAATTTTTTCAAATGACATTGTCGCTGCTTATCTTAGTTCTCGAATGCATGCGTGGAAGCGATCTTTCGATGACGTTCTTGAGTGTTGCTTTGGGTCAACCTAATGCCAACTCTTTATGTTTGATGGTTTGCAGTATATTAGATGGCGATTGCTATTTTGAAAACGTTCATATCTTGATGGGAACCGCTTCTGCAGTATTAGAGATGGTTTCTGACCTTCTTAGTGAATTTGCAAGAATTGGAAGTTATTGGAGAGATCTAAATGCTCCCTAGAGAGTTCTCATGTTTCAGTTTGAAACAGTTGTATATCGAATTCCCTTACTGGATAGGTTATCAATGAGGTTTGCTAGTAATAGGGCTTAAGAGATTCTGTCATGCTCAAATCTTGGCATCTGAATATCCAAAAAAAGAGAGAGATGTATGCAAGTTTTGAAAATAGTTTTGGTTAAATGTAGGAACGGATCGGTGAGGGAGTGAAAATTCCTCTCCGCAGAACAAAGGATAGCACTGGCTTTAGGACCGACGGAGTTTCCATTCGAGGTAGTAATGTTGACCTTGTGATATTTGCAGTCTGGTTGGCATTTCTTAGCTTTGTCTCCTTATTTCTGATGATATCAACAGGAACTACTGTTGTTAGGATCGGAGAAGTTTGATGTAGTAGTTTCTATTTTCAGCTAGTGTTGTGGGGTGTCAGGAGTGGGAATTGAAGCCTCCACAGCATGAACAGGTGCTACTTCGGTCGATTCGTCGAAGTAGGTTCTGTAATTTCTTATAGCGTGACAAGCTGCCATAATTGTAGGAAGAGACCTCACGAATAGCTGTCTCAGGATTGACACGTCGTGATCGGTTCCGCAGACATGGGTCGCATGTGGCGAAGGAGATGAGGAATGCGATCTCTTAAATCGACTAGTGAGAGAAGTTGCTGTTTACACTTCTCGTGGGGAACAGATGGACGACTGATAACAGCTCTTTTGAGTATATCTTCTGAGTCTTCTGGTGCTTAATCGATGACATCAAAGGCCTGTGCAACGAAATTAGTTGGGAGAGAATAAAAGGCGTATAGAAACATCGCTGCCCGCTTGATAAGACCACAAATTGGAAATAAATTTACAACTTCCAGAACCAAACATGTGGGTTTCTTAGGTTGAGAGTAGGACAAGTTCGAGGAGGGCCAATGCATTTATGATAAAATTCATTTCAGCAGACCATCTGTGGCAGTGGAAGAAGACGAAGGGGTCTCGTTGAGCACCGAGGATAGTTGTTTGAGAAGGATTTAGACCACCAAAAGTGCTGGGAGAAATAGCCATGAAAAAGTACAGTGTTCGGGGGGGAAATTGAGTCTCGGCTGAGCAGATCCCACCGGGTTAGCAGATCTCATAAGATTTTCATGAATCACGTGTCAACTGCACAACGTGCTGTAACCTCAAGCTTCCTTGCAGAGTAGGCGTTTCATCTGTAAAACGGGTACTTAAACCACTTAAGTAGCACGATTATCATCGTTGATAGGTTTAATTTTTATTGTTTTACAGTCTCTTAGACCTTCATCTAAATTCGTCAAGAAATAGCATTTATTTAAAAATTCAAATCAATTGTTAGTAGGCTCAGCTAATAAAAGGGATCCTTCGTTCGAGCTTCTACTGCCATCTAAACATCACGGAACTTCCATTTCACTCAAGATGGGCTTTGAAAGATGTTTTTCTGAACACGAATTTACTTATATCGGATGAAAGCAGATTAATCACAAAGTTTAAAATAGCAGCTTTATACTACGAATAGTTTTAATTAGGACTGTTCCAAATCTTTTGCTGCAACAGGCTTGTGACACGGCTATAAGATTGGCAATGCTACCGCTACACACAAGTCAGTTGTTTGAACAAACACTCGTACAGGATTTAACAACACTTATTCTCTAATATGATAATTTTGTTTTATGGAGATCAATTGACATCTTACCGAAGAACCTCTGGGCGAAATTTCCAATTAGAGAGGTCCTTCGCATTCTCGGCGGCTGTGTTTATATATCTTTGTGGGCAACGATTATGCTTACTCTGACGTGGGCTATTTACAAAAACCGCATGTGGTGAAATATTGCAACATTATTCTACACATTTTAAATTTTCTTAAAGCCAAAAAATACTCTCTTCTCTGAATATTTATTTATATTGAATGGCATGCTTGAAGAGGGAAGTAACCTCAAAGTGGGAAAAATTCGAGAGGGGGAAGAGAAGAGTGATTCACAGATGTAAAAGATACAGACACCAAGGTAGAGAGAAAGGTAAGACAAGGTAAGGTAAGTGCTATGGAAGTGGTCGAATATTATTTACTGTATGTAGACTTTGACCGTATGAGTAAACGTTGCCCAGGGTGCACTACGTGAAGGTAAATACATCGTGCACCCCCTAGAACAATTATTGAAAGGGATGAATTTAAACAGAGCAACATTTAAAGAAGGGAAAGTGTTTCTACTCTAGTTAGCCTTAAGTAAAGAAATACTTTTTCCAATGACTATTCAAGTGAATATTGGACATAATACTTCGGACGCCATAAATTTCCATACACCAGGTTTTTGAAAAAATAACGACTTAGGAAGCTATTATTATTATTATTTCAAATGGCAGGCGTTTCGATAGTTATCATTAGCCATTTAGCTGATTTCGGGCTTCACAGAGGGAGGAAAATCAAAGTGAGAAAAATTCGAGAGGGGGAGCAGAAGAGTGATTTACAGATGTAGAGGAGACAGACACAAAGGTAGTGAAAAGGTGAGATGAGTACTGCGAAAGTTGTGGAATATGGCATACAGTGGGATCATGATAGTTTGAGGTCAGAAGTCAACTGCTGATTTATAGACTTTTTTGCCGTATGAGTATACGTTGCCCAGGGCAAGTCTGTCTCACACCCCACTTAAGAAACTTATTTGCCAATTAAGCATATTAAAAGTTACTGAACTCTTATCTAATAAAATCAACTAGGTTATATGCAAGAGGACATTATTTACCGTTTATGAATACATTACCGTTTCAGTTGAAATGTGATTCAATTTAAAATGTCTGTTTATTTTATCTACACCAACTTATTAATTGCATTATTTACTGTTATTATTTATTACGATTTACATTTACTTTAACTTACGTAAAACGATATATTGCGGCCAGGAAATTTTGACTACAATGGAGGTAATTGGCTGTCAATAATTAATCAACCTGAAATGCAATAACCGTTTTTTCAAGCTCAACTGTTTTTTATTTAAATAATTAAATCTTTTGCTACTACTTGGGTGGGGTTGACTTAGCTTAAAATTGAATAAGCTCTATTATAGACCGTGAAACCAATTGGTCAGTAAATTCAAAACATTAGAGCCATAATGTTACCTATTTACATGGGAATTGAAATTATTAATTATGGGCATCGAGGCATTGCAGATATAGCTCTACACCTTCTGTCTTTTCCAAAAAAAACCTATTGCTTTCGAACTTAAACTGAGTAAAGCAAGGCTCTCGGTGGTCTAATTCTATTCTCCTTTTCCTTTAAGACGTTTTGGCCATTCTCCTTAGCACAATACTTGCCTCTGATTGGTAGTTGTCAAAATTTGGTTTCAGTTTCATGAACAATAACAGT